TCAACAGTATGTCACAGAGGCTTTCGTTAACCCTTCAGTTGTTTTTACCCTAATTAGTCTGCAAATAGTTCAAACACATAGAGAACACACAATAGATTGTTGCAAACAAAAAACAAAGGGGTAAATAAACTGAAAATGCACCAACCTCATGTGGGCAGCTCTCACAGGGCTGAAAATGGCAAAGGCCTCTGGAAAGCTGCTCTGGTCCCGACTTGCAACAGTCCTCCACTCCATCGTCTATTGCCGTGTTTACCGTATCCATCGGAAATGCACAAAGTGCTGAATCGTGTTCAGGAACGCCCGAGTCATCAGTTACAGCAAATACGCCATATAAGATATCATCCTCTTCTTCAGCACCCAGCTCATCTGCGAGCTCCCGTCCGGCCTTGCCAAAGTGGGCCGCTTGAACCACGTTGTAGACCACATCTTTAAAAGGTTCACTGCCATTGCTTCTCCTTCGCCTTTTGGGTTCAAAACGACATTCTAAAACAATTTCACGGTAGCGTCGCATTTCCCACTCGTGACGTGGCAGACGGCCTAGTCTTGTCTGAAAGGGCGAAGAGTCCAAGTCGGTTTTCTCTCGTTGGACAGACAAGAAGTAGACAAAGTCCTGCGTGTAGAAGCTATAGATGTATTCAATGCTGTACGTCTGCCGTAGAGCAGGCAACACCGTCAACCCTCTGACATCGGTGTAAAAACCGTCCTCGGTCGCAACCGGTCGGCGTACGGAAATGGACATGCGACCGTATTTTTGCGTCACGCTGTTGTTCACTGTTGCTGCGACAAAGAAGTACACCGTTTGGCCCTCTTCCACCATGGAGACTTTCGTTCCCAAAGGACTAGCGATGCAATCCGGGCAGAACTGTGGAGAGTTGAACTTCTTCCGGAATAAACACTTTGAAGTCCCAGGAGGCCTTCCATTTTCATGGAGTTGATGGAAATAGCAAACTCCATATTGGGAGCTTCCACACGAGTACAAGTACATCAAGAACGTGTCTAGGAGCAACACCTCATTGTCTGTGTCCTCATGGAAGGGATCTCTTGCGATCTCACACAAATCGCATATCTCACACTCCGGACTGCCCACGGGTCCCGTACGGAGTTCCCAAAGTTTACCTAGAGTAAAGTTCACCGCCTCAATGACATTTTGAGAGGCCACATAGACCTCTTGGAAAAGGGAGTTGGTAACTATGTTCTGGATGCGGTTGCGGGTCTGAAAGTAAGGCATGGGGTACGGCACCGAGAAGTCCACAGCGATGGGAGCCGTTGGGGGACAAGTGTCTAATGCAGAAGACATTAGAGCCTGTATCCAGACATATGTCACCAGATGAGTGGCCCAATGGACCATGTCCACTCCAGGGTGAAAAAAAATGGCTGTAGTGTGTTGCGGTTAGCTCCAGTTGGCATCTGTCAATGAAGACATCCTGAGAACAGGAAGGCGTGATAACGATTGAGCATAACAATCACAAAAGAAGCTTCCTTTAAAAATGGTTAATGAATAGACACAAAAATGAGAATTCTGTCATCATTTAGTCACTCCCATATCTTTAAAAAAAACGAGGATGTTGGCAAGTGGCCATACTATGATAAAATAAAGGTTTCAAATTCAAAATGATGTGAAGCAATGATTACATAACGAATGTTTTAATGTAATTTAGGGGGGAAATTATGTTTTGATTTGTCATAAATGGCAAAGGGAAACATTTCAAGTCTGTAAACACTAAAAGAGGTTTTACTTACTCATGTCTGTCTGTGCCTGCAGCTTTAAGTCATGTCTCAGAAAGAGAGAAAGTCATTAAAAAGTAAAAATAGATATTTTGCACAACTCTGAGAGAACTATTTTCAAGTGTTTTAAGCAAAATATGAAGAAAAAAGATATATATATATAAAAAAAGGCCTTTCAGAAAGAATGGTTGGCTTCCAACCAATGTTCAATGTAATATTTCTTGGTTCTCATCTGAGTTAATTATTAAGAGCTCATCACCATGTTCTACACCGAGGGCCTCTCAAATTGTCATTCTTGTCACAACTTAGACGTGCTTTTTTTGTGCAAAAGTTGCAAACTGACTGTTTTGCTTTTCATTCAAGAGCTTTTTTTAACTAACAAATGAGCTAATTACTTTTCAAAATCATGCCACAGCATTTGAACCTCTGCTTTGAATGCATTCTGCAGACTACATGTATAAGAATTTATTCATCTTTAGGGAAACAGTGGAAATATAGTATGTGTTTCTTTAAAACATATCACCTGACTAGGCAAATACTTTGCCATGTTTTATTGTTTTAAAATATTCAGTAACTTTCTTTGTCTTCGCACTGACAAAACATAAATCTCACAGATTCCCAAAGCTTGTAGAATATCTTAAACACAGGCTGCTTATTCTAAGTGATGGCAGCCCCAGTGGAGGATTTATTTGTACCATGGATATTATGTTTAGAGAATGGTTCATTTTGAAAAAAGGGGGTTGTTTAATCTTTGAAAAGAGGATTCAGCTTTTGTCTGACATGACATGAGACATCGACTTTTAATAATAAATCAATAAAACGTATTTGGAATGCACCGTATCTACGGAATTAACAGAGCCGTTGCCATTTATGAATCCTGTTTATTTTATTTATTAGCTTAATTATTTTGACAAAATTACAAGGCAATAAATGATCGAATATGTACAATTATGTTTTCCAAGAAAAAATGTAATCTTGTATATATCTAATTTCATATTTTACGATAAATAGGCAATAAGAACGCACTCACCTGTTAGTGACGGTAACCCGGTGAAGTACAGATCTCAGGATAGATCAATAACTGCATTTCCAACTCTGAACATGTAGACATGTAGTAGTGAAAAAAAAACATTGAAAGAAGTGAAACAACTTTCAATATACATCAACACAATACATTCAGTTTAGTTTATGCATAAAACCAGATAATACGAAACTTTAGAAACATATGATAAGAGATGTCTTGGTGTTTTAGGCGACTGCTTGTTTCGTTCGAAGCACTGACTGGAGTTGACAGGCCCCGCCCACCCGCAGAAGGGAATGATTACTACTATGGTGACACCACTGCTCATAAATATTACTTACGCAATGCAGACGTCCCTTGGCAGCCTTCCAGCCACGTAAACTGATTAATATTCATGAGCCAAGCCAAGCCATAGTAGGATTCAATGTTATTCATTTGATGAATAGATAAAACAGAGCGCACATTGTCCAAATAGTATAATGTGTCGGTCAGGTTGTGAGAAGATTTCTCAAAAGCACACAACTGAGCTGTAAAAACCTCAAGAAACGAAAATAAACTCTTATCTTTAAATAATCGAATTCAATGTCTTCATCACACAGATACACAACGTTTTCATTACAAACAGTGATTTATTAAAAAACAAAATGAGATTTGTTTCTTGTTGAGTGAGGTTTTTCAGAGCAACCTCTAATTTTGAACTTTACTAACACTATTGTAATCTACACAAGATTGTGGTTACTTGACAATACCAAACTTGGTCTTAAATTCTAAATCCACAGTTAAATGTAAATTGAAGTTGTTGGTGTGAACAATATGCCACATTGTTAATAAGTTTCTAGAGAATAAAAAGCAGTTTGACAAGGATTAGACACAGGAACGTGTTTGACTACACTGGTATGACAGAGTAACTGTTCACCCAGCAATTCTAATTCTGTGGAAGCGTATCTGCAGAGTTACAGAACAGCTTGAGAAAACATATGGTATAATGTAGATGAATGTTTGTGGTGGTATATTTAAATGCATTTACATTTGTATTCAATAGGCTATGTACAGTACTTTAGACAAATATGCAGAGGTTCTGTGCCAAGCCTTCGCCATAGTAGGATTCAATGTTATTCATTTGATGAATAGATAAAACAGAGCGCACATTGTCCAAATAGTATAATGTGTCGGTCAGGTTGTGAGAAGATTTCTCAAAAGCACACAACTGAGCTGTAAAAACCTCAAGAAACGAAAATAAACTCTTATCTTTAAATAATCGAATTCAATGTCTTCATCACACAGATACACAACGTTTTCATTACAAACAGTGATTTATTAAAAAACAAAATGAGATTTGTTTCTTGTTGAGTGAGGTTTTTCAGAGCAACCTCTAATTTTGAACTTTACTAACACTATTGTAATCTACACAAGATTGTGGTTACTTGACAATACCAAACTTGGTCTTAAATTCTAAATCCACAGTTAAATGTAAATTGAAGTTGTTGGTGTGAACAATATGCCACATTGTTAATAAGTTTCTAGAGAATAAAAAGCAGTTTGACAAGGATTAGACACAGGAAAGTGTTTGACTACACTGGTATGACAGAGTAACTGTTCACCCAGCAATTCTAATTCTGTGGAAGCGTATCTGCAGAGTTACAGAACAGCTTGAGAAAACATATGGTATAATGTAGATGAATGTTTGTGGTGGTATATTTAAATGCATTTACATTTGTATTCAATAGGCTATGTACAGTACTTTAGACAAATATGCAGAGGTTCTGTGCTTGATTATAAAATGTTCAAATATTGTTTGTCAGTGTAGTCTTAATCATAAAAAAATATCCCAACTCTCTTTTCAAAATGTAGTCTGTATCACATATAACATTATATAACTATAAATGGAAAGGGTCAACATCAACATTTTCTTGTGTTTGGGCTAGTTTTAATTTAGCTTTCTGATTCAATGAAAACATTTACACATATTCATACCAAACCTTTTGTTACAAAAAAATAAAATAAATAAAAAATGTTGTGCTATCAGTGGTATATCCAATTACTACTCAATAGTTTATTATATTATATTAATATATTATTATATATTATGAAGAGGCTTCAACACTTAACTTTCTTACGATATCAACACTGTATTACCGCTTGAAAAGTTATGTTTATCATTTCACAATCTCATTAAATCACAAAACTAATTTCATATAATCTCTTGCTGTCCACAAAATGCAATCCATTTGTAGAAAATATATAACTACTACTACTATCCACAATCCCGACTCTACATAGAAATATCAGCAACTCACTGTCAGTAAACTTTAATGTGCAAAAAGATTCACAAACAGAAGCATTTCTGAGTTACTAGTATTTATACAGTCCATTACCTAAAATACAGTCCATTTCCTGCTAGTGTTTATCGTTTGGAATCATGAATTACAGTACACTACTGTACAAAAATTGTGGTAAGTATTTTTTTACTTTTATTCAGCAAGGATGCATTAAATTGATCAAAAATGACATTAAAGACATTTATATTGTTACAAACCATTTCAAATAAATGTTGTTCTTTTGAACTTTCCTGACCCAAAACTTTTGTTCAATGGTAGGGCAAGACTATATAACACAAAACTGTAAACTAAGACTGCTTATACAACACAGAAATCATAACTAACATATACAAATGTGATATTAGCTCCTCGAGCATGCATACACATAACAAAATCTCTGAATGGTATCTAATAATGCCAGTGTATTGCACTTTATGGCAGACTCACCAAGGCATAAAGGTTCTCAGTCTCTGTGCAGCGGTAGATGTAGCGCAGGGGGCGTGTGGGCTGATGCAGGCAGCTATGCAGGTACTGGTACAATCCCATCAGCCTCTCGTGCTCCTCTTCTCCCTGGTACGGAGTTGGAAGGTCAGGGCTGATAGGAAAAAACAGGAAGGTACATAAAAAGCAATAAACATGAAGCTTCAATGCGTGTCTATCTCTCTACAGTCATTCTTTTCTTTTCATGATCATCACTAAACTGTCTTACCTTGTATAGAGCCCAGAGCTTTTAGACTTGTACACAAAGTGTCGCAGCTCAGGTATGCCCACCTGTGAAACAGGATAACTTGGGGTGTTCAGTGCTTCTTGCAGGGATTGATATGCACTGCGTCTGCGCAAGCGCTCTAGGAACCGCTTCTTACAGTCGGAGAGGTTAAAGAAATCCTCACGATCTGTGGACACCAGGATGAGACACAGATCCGAGGCTGGTTTCAGGTAAGAAATATGTGCATGGAAAAATCCAGCTGGGTTAAACTTGGGCAGACATATGGGCGTCCACCCTTCACCTTCTCGGAATGAGGACGAAGAGCCGACCAAGTTGAAGAGCAAGTGCAGGTCCATGTGGTGCAGAAACTGGTCCTTTTTGCGCACCAGCGTCACCAGCCTGTTTCCTGCTAACAGGATGGAGAATACCAGGTTCTTGGCTCTAGCAGCCTGCAAGCTGGAGGAGACCACGTTGCGGGCCGAACTGGCCAGAGGCAGGCACATCACGGCGCTCAGCAGCAGGCCTGGATCTTGATCGAGGAGCCGCAGAAGGTTGTCGGTGAGATGTTCTGATCCGGCCAGTAGGCGGCGCAGATCGTAGCTCTGCCGATGCTGGAAGACGTGGTTCAGCTGTGTGAGGGTGAGCAGGCTAACGATCTGGTAGTAGACGTACTGAAGCTCTCGTGTCAATTCCCGGTCGGAGCAGTTAGTGCGAGAGACTCCCACCAGGATAATAGGGCTTTTCCGCAGGAATACCACACTGTAGCCATCTGAAAGATATGTTTACACACAAAAATGTATATGAATATATATATGAAAATAAATTTGGTATATAAAAAAAGGTATAAGCTATTGTTCAAAAGTTTGGGGCTGGTTTGAAATGTTTCTAAAAGAAGTCTTATGCTTACCAATCCTGCATTTATTTGATAAACTATATAGCAAAAATAGTAATATTGTGAATTATTACAAATATAATATTCTTGCAAATGATTACATAAAAAAATAGGTATTTTCTATTTTATTATATTTTAATTTAAATGAAGTTCAAGAAAACATTTCTCATTATTATCAACGTTTAGTTGTGTCACTCAATATTTTTGTGGAAACCATGACAGATTTTATTTTTCAGGATTCTTTGATGAATAGAAATTTCAAATGAACAGCATTTATTTGAAACAGAAATATTTTATAACATTATAAATTTCTTTACTGCAACTTTTGATCAATTTAATGCATCCTTGCGGAATAAAAGTATTAATTTTTTTTTAAATCATACTGACCCCAAACTTTTGAACAGTAGTGTGCAATGTGCATACATCCATATATTAACACCAGCTATTTTCCATTTGCTTTCTTTCTAAATATCTCTTACCTGCATGGATGGAGCGTATGATGTTCTTCTTATCCTCTACAAATGACATGAGTAACATCATGACTCCCATGATGCTGGAGAGCGCTTCCTCTGTTCCGTAGCGTGTATAGATGGGTTTCCCCGCCTCACTCAAGACAAACATATGCTTCCTGTGACTCCGCCACGTTTCACTTGTCACATCCTCCTCTTTTGCCTTGTTGCTGTTCCGAACCTCCTCTTTCCCTCCTTCCTCCTGTTCAATCATTAAACCTCGCTCCTGCAACTCCTCCTCATCTCTTTATAACATTATAAATTTCTTTACTGCAACTTTTGATCAATTTAATGCATCCTTGCGGAATAAAAGTATTAATTTTTTTTTAAATCATACTGACCCCAAACTTTTGAACAGTAGTGTGCAATGTGCATACATCCATATATTAACACCAGCTATTTTCCATTTGCTTTCTTTCTAAATATCTCTTACCTGCATGGATGGAGCGTATGATGTTCTTCTTATCCTCTACAAATGACATGAGTAACATCATGACTCCCATGATGCTGGAGAGCGCTTCCTCTGTTCCGTAGCGTGTATAGATGGGTTTCCCCGCCTCACTCAAGACAAACATATGCTTCCTGTGACTCCGCCACGTTTCACTTGTCACATCCTCCTCTTTTGCCTTGTTGCTGTTCCGAACCTCCTCTTTCCCTCCTTCCTCCTGTTCAATCATTAAACCTCGCTCCTGCACCTCCTCCTCATCTCCTTCCAGAGCCTCTACTTGAGCATTTCCTAGATTTGAGCCGCCAACCTCTGCAGATTTGTCATCAGTGTTGGGCTCGCTGTCAGCACTCAAGTCCTCAAAAGACTGGGCATGAACGAACATGGCGCCCTCCTGTCCAGCACCTGTCAGGGAGTGACACATTGCTTAGAGAAGTAATAGCACACCTCTGCTAAACAAGCTACTTGACTTGAGGTATCATTCATGTAATCATCAATTATATGAGTGTTACAACACCTTCTGTTAATAAAAAAAAATTAACAACAGCCTTGTAAATGGATAATAAATAAGAAAAAATATGTTTATTAAAGTATTTTTCTGTGCATTTGAGTGAACTGTTTAAATAAAGAGTTAAATTTAACAATTTTATGTGCATCTCTTTTTGCTGTCATAAAATTGTTGTCTATATATACACTAGCGTTCAAAAGTAAGATTCTTTTTTTATTAGTTCTTTTATTTATTAAGAACGCATAAAATTGATCCCAAAGAGACAGTGTAGACATTTACAATATTACAAAAGATTTCCATTTCAAATAAATAGTTCATTTGAATCTTGAAAAAATGTTACAACACCTTCTGTAAATAAAAAAAAATTAACAACAGCCTTGTAAATGGATAATAAATAAGAAAAAATGTTTATTAAAGTATTTTTCTGTGCATTTGAGTGAACTGTTTAAATAAAGAGTTAAATTTAACAATTTTATGTGCATCTCTTTTTGCTGTCATAAAATTGTTGTCTATATATACACTAGCGTTCAAAAGTAAGATTCTTTTTTTATTAGTTCTTTTATTTATTAAGAACGCATAAAATTGATCCCAAAGAGACAGTGTAGACATTTACAATATTACAAAAGATTTCCATTTCAAATAAATAGTTCATTTGAATCTTGAAAAAAAACATGTAATATAGTTTTCACCAAAAAATTAAGCAGCACAACTGTTTTCAACATAATTATATGTTAATTATAAGAAATGTCTCTTGAGCACCAAATCAGCATATCAGAATGATTTATGATCATGTGACATGGAAAACTGGAGTAAATGCTGCTGATAATTCAGCTTTACTATCATAGAAATAAAATAGATTTTTAAATATATTCAAATAAAATAAAACAGTTATTTTACATAGCAATAATATTTCACAATACTGTTTCACTGTATTTTTGATCAAATACAGTCTCTATACTTAGTGAGCATTACAGACTTCTTTCAAAAACAATAAAAAAAATCTTACTAAACTAAACTTTTAAATTATAGTCTATATTCTGTATTACATTAGCCATGGGTCACCCTGCTCTCTTAATGTTGTTAAAAACTCAATCAATATAATCAGAAAATCTGAAAAACTTGCAGGTTGAGACTGAACAGTAAATGAGACTGAAGAGCTTCTGTAAATGCTTTAACTACATGTGTCAAAAATCACTTATAACTCATTTAAGGTTCAAAAATTCCCACAAAGCCAAGTATCCACCGAAATACAATATAGGCACACTTCTTAACTTTCCAGTTTCAGGAATCAGCCCTCACATACTCCCGGGGCTTCTGGGAAATCCTCCAGGAGATTTAGTTGAAACTTTCATATCATTATGAAACTGCCTGTGTTGTGACAAACTTCAACTTCTCTAAAGAATCATTTACACAGCTAAACTAATTCTGAGATGCTAGTCATCTATCACATACAAACATACAAGTGATTTGATCACTCACAACGGGAAATACAATGGGATATTACAAGGATATGCATGACTAAGCAATAAGGTGTGGTTTGTTTATAGAGACCCACCCTATAGGCTTAAGAAGCATATAGGTCACTTTAACGACTTTGTCAAAGCATCATAAAAACTTTGGCAACAAAAAAATGTTTCTAAGTAAAAATAAAGATTACAATCCATGTCAAAAGCAGAATATATTTGCATCTAATCATTACACAGCGTTATAACTGAGAGTATAAACTGTTAAACTAACCTGGCTCTGTCCCCTCCACCAGCCCTGGGGTCGGACTATACGATCTGTCCTGCCCGAGTCGATCTGATGGCACCAAGTTGCCATTTTTAACCTCCCAGAGTGCACCCTTATTGTGGACATCTGCCGCCATCCTGGCATCAGGCACAAGAGAAACCCAGCAGAAGAGAGGACACAGTGTCCTGAACCGCCATTCACTGCATGATCCCAACCGCTTGGAAGGTGTTACAGTACAATTTATAGGGTTTCCATCAGTGTCTGGAAGTTAAATTACAGAAACACACATTAAAAGAGGAACAAGAAATTAGTTAATTCCTCAGTTTTTAAAACTTCATTCTTCTTTTGATGCATTTCATAATATTCTGTTCTAATGGAAACAATTTTTTTACATTTGTTCATAGTGATCAACAACAGTGAATTAGGCTACATAATTTCAATTTTGTTTGAAAGTTATATTTGTTTGAAAACTTCATACAAGTATAAAACGCTCTGAACCACTTTTATTAAATATGCTAACATTTCCCAGCAATAATAACATTAACACACAAACATCACAAGTATTTCAACTATTTAAACTTATGACAATAATGATGATGCTGATGCAAGCGAATTTTAAATTAAATCTCAATGCAACTTCTCTGTTTAAAACTGTCAAACACGGTGTATGTTAATGCCAATCTTGAGATATTCTTGCAACTGAACGCATATGGAAGATTCGTTGATTTTCTCATGTCTATAAATCCATTCCGGCTAACGCACTAGCCACGGAGCTAAACCTTTAAAAACTGTTCAATATCACTAAAAGACAACGTATTCTGCGCCAGCTTGAACTTAATCAAGTCTAACATATGTTGTTCGTATAGTTTAGACTCATAATAATACAAATTATCGTTACTGTACCTTAAATAGTGTTTATCCAAATCACTGTATGTTGACTTGACTTGGATCAAAAGTCAACTCGGACCGTCACAGACGTCATCACGCACGAGATGTACTATGGGAAATGTAGTTTTTAATTAGAGAACATATAGTTTTTAAATTATTGCTACTGGACTAAAAAAAACAATGTCCGCGTTTTTATGTCAAATTAAATTAAACACTTAAATCTTATAAACCTAGCTTAACCTTAACCAATAGGTTTTCCGTATATTTCCAGGCAGCACGGAGTCGTATGTTGATGACGCAATCAAAAAGGAGAGTCATTACGTTTGAACTAAGTGCGCCGCTTCACTGTTTTTAGGAGCTCAACACTAAAGCAAAAACAAGCCATATAAACACAATTATGGAGTTTAATTAAACAAATTCATGTGAATAAGAGCTCTCGGTCGTCTCAGCGTTATTTGGGTGAGTAAACGCAGCACATTAAGTAATTAACCGGTAGTACAGGGTACCACAACACATCAGTAATGAACAAAACACAAACCGTGCCATCAACATAAAGATTTTGACCATGTTGTGTCTAATATTTTAGATAAACAATGCCTATTCGAGCATACTGCACCATCTGCTCAGATTTCTTTGATAATTCCAAAGATGTGGCTGCAATTCACTGTGGCCACACTTTTCATTATGTCTGGTAAGTCTGTCTCCTTTTTACTCTACTGCATGTTTGTTTTTGTTGATATTATAATATTATATGCATTATTATAATATTACACAATTATTATACCATTACATGTTAATTAACACAGGATCCTCATTGCTAAAAATTTCTATAAAAAGTGTCTTTAAAATAATAATTTTTATTTAAACCCTTAATAAAATACCTGATAAAGTTATGAAAATTCAATGGTCGAAAGGTGTGGGAACCTGACCAATTATTAATGTATGTACATTCAAATATTTAGAAATGTCAATGTTTGAATGTTAAACAATAATTAATGTTTCTCAATGACTTTTAAAGACTTTCTGTTTCTTTTCTTTTCAACAAAGTCTTCTCCAGTGGTTTCAGTCGGCCCCAAACAAAACCTGTCCACAATGCAGGAAACAGGTAAACCATTGACTTAACCTGTGAACTGACTTATTCTTCTGATTAATTCAATTAAACTAATTCGAGGTCTGGACTGCAATGAAACCCTCACTCTTTGTGTTTCAGGTCAGTACACGGCACATTATCAACAAGCTGTTCTTTGACATAGCACCAGAGGATGATGGGACGCCAGTGGATCCTGAAAGTTTACAGGTGATAAAGCATGCTGTTGAATTTATTCAATGCTCAGAGTTTGTTTACGCAGTTAACAATTATTGACAGATGTGCTTGTTTTATTGTTCCAATTTCAGAATGAGCTTGATCGCATGAAAGCAGTGTTGTCTGAAAAAGGTAAGACTGAAATAATCAACTCAAGTTTGATTGATCCTTAAAATGTCCATCCATTTATATTATGTGTTTGCATGTGTTGTGCATTCCAGAGAAAGAATGGAGGGACAAGCAGAAGTCAGTGGACACTCTAAAAGACACAATTGAGAGGCAGAAGAGGGACCTGGATAGACTCCGGAAGGAAATCGGAGACAAAGAGATGCTGTGTGCTGTCCTCCGGGTACATTTATTTTAGTAAACTGTTGTGTCTGTTAGTCCAGCATGCTTTCTGCATTTTATTTTAATGCTGGTATTGACTTTGTTGTACATGAAATTCTCAGAAACAGATGAATTTCTTGGAGAGTCAGAAAAATGAAGGGCAGGCAGCCAAAGAGGAAGCCAAGCGACTCAGAGTCAAAATGAAAACCTATGAAAGGTACTAATTCATTTGTCTAAGACAGGTTTTTGTTGTTAAATGTATGTGTGAGAGATAGACATTTATTGAGTGGCAAATTTGTAAAAAGTGATGTTTCTGATAACTTATGTAGCGTTATGTAGATATATATATATATATATATATATATAGTTGGCTGTGATGAAACACATTTGTAAAAAAAATTCAGTGTTGTTTTTATGAAAACTATTTTTATCAATAGTGATTCACACTCAAAAACCAATAAGTTTTTTTTGTTATTATTATTTATTGATCACATTAGGAGATTGACACACTGAAGAAGGCCTGAGAGCCGAAAAGTTTGTGTCCATCTCCTCATGTGAACAATAAAAATAATAAATTAACTGTCTGATTAGTTGTAAGGTTAAAAAATACTTAGTAGACTTTATTGTTTGTTCATATGTTCTCTTGTGCATGTTTCTGTCCTTTAGTTTAGATGTGGTCCTACAGGGTCAAAGGTCAGAGGTGGAGGCCATGATCACTGATATGGGTGTTGGTCAGTCTGCTGTTGAACAGCTGTCCATATACTGCATCTCACTTAAAAAGTAAGCTTTACTTTCCTGCAAATACACACTCTCACCGCTGCATATGTAGTGTAATTGTATAGTTTAAAACTTAAAACCTCAGTAGTTTTACTTCCCCAAACCTTTTAGAATGTCGGTACACCAGTTGTGCTTCCTCATATGCTGTGTGTGAGTGTTATATTTTATTTATCCTCAGGGAGTACGACAATCTGAAAGGAAGCCTCAAGTCATCAAATGAGATGTGTGAGAAACTAAAAAGGGAACTCATCTCTTCTAACAGCAAGGTTCATTTCTTGTCTCTGAGACTGTCTATCAAAAATATCATTATTTAGAAATGTATAATTGCTTATTGATCTTTTTATAGATTTTTTTCAGCATCTGTTTATTTATTTGTAATGTATGTTAATTTTTTTTTACTGCAGTTGCAAAAAGCCACTGCAGAGACAAACGGAACAAAGGAGGACATGAAGGCACTTCAGAACGACCTGTCCAACGCAGACAAAGAGATCACTGTTAGAAATTCTACTTTATTACACTTTATCTATTTGCATTTGTTGATCTTTAAAGGCCATTAATCCTATCTAAATTCTTATGGTTTTTACAGAGGGGTTTGTTCATAAAACATTCGTCTGGATTATATAATAATTTTATATATAATTTTATTCCTAAAAACATGTAGAATTTTTTTCTGACTGTTGACAGTATTTTCTGAATTATGGAGAGATTTAAAAAAAGGTTTTTTTTTTGTGGAAGGGAATTTGGATCTTTAACTCTAGTACGTTAACAAAATGAAACAAAAATTTTGAACCTGGCTTTCCAGTGTTCAGATTTCTGCTCCGGAAATGTATGCAAATTAGTGTGTTTTTAATTAGTTAATGCCTAATTTGCATATTTAAACATACAATTTTAGAACTTGTAATGCAAAATATTATGTCTTTAATGTACTGTGAGTAATTAACGGGGGACGTGTGATGATCTTTAATTAAAATTTACCCTATTCACCTGTAGTGTCTTGCCTTAAGGTTAAAATTTGCATAATTTGAACACAAATAGAATGGAAGGGAAAGATGAACTGAGAACATACATAAAAATCTTATTATTCTGTAAAAATGCATTTAATATAAGCATCAAAATACTTTTACAAGATGCCCTTCAAATCAGCCACAAGGGGGTGCAATTTTTTTTCAAACTGACTGTGTTTCTAAACTCTTGATCTGACATCTCATGTTTCACAGAGCTTGAAGAAGAAGGTGGAAATTCTGCAGCGGACATTAAGCACTCCGACCCGCACCAATGAGGCCATCAGCAGACTGGTCTTCGAAAGGTCAGAATTTCAGTTTGTATTTTGAGCAAAACTATTTGGTAGATCTGCTGAAAGAGACATTGTTGATTTTTGTATTTCCAGCCCTGCTCCTCTGGAGCTGAAGCCTCCTGGTCATGGTCTGATGACAGACTCTCAGGAAATTGACCTCAACCTGACCTTTGACATTAACACACCCGAACAGGTGGAGAAGAAACCCGTTCAAGTGCCATCTAAGAAGATGCGTCTGGACCCTTCGGTGTGAGTTTTTACTCTGCACAGTACGGTTTTATCCAACTCTTCATATGATTTCTACTGATGTCCATTTGTTTTCATTTTTCCACAGATCGTCATCCAAAAACATGGAAAATGCACTTGGACGTAGTGTATGTGTACAAGCAGGATGTCTTGGTGTTGAAGAATATGAGACTGGATTAGATGGAGGGTGTAATGTTTGTGTGTGTGTGTGTGTTTTTGCTCTCAGAATGCTCGTGTTAAAGAAGATGATGTCATGATGGGGCCCATGTTAAGGAACTCGCTGCTCTTCAGAAAGAACGCGTTAGGGAGCATGCTGGACCCATGCAAATTTGGCACTGTGAGAGACTTCTAAATGTTTTTGTAACTTATCCACCTTATTCTTCAACGTGGTAGTAAGCCGTTTTCTGTGAATGTGTGAGACTTCCGGTTCATTAGCCGCCATAGAGAAATAACGAGAAGAATAACAAAGTGCAGTAAGCGGTAAAACTGTTTGCACTACAAACCAGTGTGTTCATAATTATGTTATTACATTAAAAATAATATGGTAAGACACATTTATAATACCAAGCAGCAAAACGAGCTGGCAGCAGATAACACCAGAAGCCAGACCCATACAATTTTCAAATGGCCATTCTCAAAACTCTTCTTGGTTTTCATGCACACATATACTACCATTCAAAAGTTTGTGGGTGGTAAGATTTTCTTTTATGTCTCTGTCTCTTATGCTCACAAAGGCTGCTATATAATTGTAATTATAAATAATAAATGTCTTTACTGTCACTTTTGATCAATTTAATGCATCCTTGCTGAATAGAAGTATTGATTTCTTTCAAAAACAACAAAAAATCTTATAGACCTCAAACCTTTGAACATTTTGTGCAGTTTGCCTTAATGCATCGTTTTTATTCCAGGTAAGATCTGGCTATGATGGACTTGGGGGAAGAGCCAAATTTATCCAACCTGTATCCTTATCCAATGAAAATACTTATATTGCTACCATTACGTATGTAAATAATTATTTGAAGTTGTTGTTTTGTTTAGTTTTTTCATAATGTTTCCTTAACTTTAGTACGTGCACCAGTCTCCTTTATCTGAGATTAGACCCCTCGCCATGAAGTCCAAGAGGAAGAAGGTGTCCAGGCCCGTT